ATATGCAGTTCTTGAGGGAGATCCCCAGTGGGATAGTCCCTAGAACTGTTTGGTCCAAAAGTGCCTATTAAAACCCTTTCGAGAAGATATTTTTGCTCAGCAGCATTTGTGTCCTAGCTGAAGGCAAAAATCAAGACAGAAAGGGAGAATTTATCTTTTGGCATACCATACATTTTCAAGCCAAAACCATAGCCAAAGTGTACCAAATCAGTTCCTCTAGATGAACATGTGATAACACTTTTTGCTGAGTTCCAATCTCAGTTTCAAGGGAGGGTCAATTAGCTTTCAATTTTGTCACCCTGACAATGAATATAGTGTTGAGGAATATACTACTCAATTCATGGCTTTGTTTTTTTTTTTTGGTTGACAGATATTTATGTCAAAGCTCCAGAGGGTGTAGAGGTCTGCAAGTGTTCAGAGAAAGAGTGATATTGAAGTGTGAACGTATTTTAGTGAAGGGCAATGATGAATTATTACTTCATATTTGGAGTGGTCACATGGATATTTGTAGATCTTAGTTCTTCCATAGAGCTTTCCAAACACATAGTTTATCACAAATCCAAGAGTGGAAATGCACCTTCCTTTTTGTAAAAGTATATCAGATTTTGTTGCCAGGCAGTACAAGAAGTGACATCTCTGTGGCTTTAAAGGGTAAAAAAAAGGAGCACTCCCAGATGGCACTCAGGTCTAAAAGAAGAAATACATAAAGTACAATAATCTTTTTTATGGGATCCTAATAGTGCTACAAATGTCAGACCTGATGTATTACTGCCTGTTCGCTGCATGCAGATGTTCCCTGGGCTTTGCCTGGACAATCATTGCGCCTATCAAAAGCACTTCATTAGACGAATCAGGTCAGAGGCAGAGAGAGGCTAGGTGTTTGTGTTTATCTATTTGTGTTTCTGTCTGTGTATGCATTTTAGTAAGTCTGTATATGTCATGTTAAAAGAGCAAGAGCACATAGATACAGTGGGTACGGAAAGTATTCAGAGCCCTTTAAATTTTTCACTCTGTTATATTGCAGCCATATGCTAAAATCATTTAAGTTCATTTTTTTTCCTCATTAATGTGTGCATTCTTATATTGGCATGGATTCATGGAAATCGATGTCAGTCTGTTGGTCTTTCTGCCACTTTAGTCCAGGCTGAAATATGTCAAGAATACAAGGTGAATTGCCACGAAATTGTTTTATTCAAAAGCATAGATAAAACTTACTGAATTCTGACTTGGCATCTTGCACGGCAGTGTTTGCTCTGTGCTTATACCTAAACATCAGAAAATAAATTAATTACGATTTCCACAAAGAAATAAATCAAGCAGCCTGCAAACACAAACAATGTTTTGGCTTCCTTCAAGTGAAGAACAGGTGAAGTGATTTGCAAATCGAAGAAACTTTAGCTGCATAGAGATCACAGGGCTTCCTGAAAAATCCCAACAGAGAGCAAAACAGCACTTTCTCAGAAAATGATTGCTCCCTGTAGGAATCCTTGTTATGCTGCTGGAGCTATGCACACACTCAAACTACAGCTGATAAAGGAGGGAGAGAATACATGCATCTAGCAGATACCCAAAACAGTTTGCAAACACAATCTGCTACAGACAGAAACAGGATAAGGCAATAAGATTTCCATAAGATCATATACAGTGGGTACGGAAAGTATTCAGACCCCCTTAAATTTTTCACTCTTTGTTATATTGCAGCCATATGCTAAAATCATTTAAGTTCATTTTTTTCCTCATTAATGTACACACAGCACCCCATATTGACAGAAAAACACAGAATTTTTGACATTTTTGCAGATTTATTAAAAAAGAAAAACTGAAATATCACATGGTCATAAGTATTCAGACCCTTTGCTGTGACACTCATATATTTAACTTAGGTGCTGTCCATTTCTTCTGATCATCCCTGAGATGGTTCTACACCTTCATTTGTGTCCAGCTGTGTTTGATTATACTGATTGGACGTGATTAGGAAAGCCACACACCTGTCTATATAAGGCCCTACAGCTCACAGTGCATGTCAGAGCAAATGAGAATCATGAGGTCAAAGGAACTGCCTGAAGAGCTCAGAGACAGAATTGTGGCAAGGCACAGATCTGGCCAAGGTTACAAAAAAATTCCTAAGCACACAGCTAAAATAACGATGGAGTGGCTTCACAACAACTCCATGACTGTTCTTGAATGGCCCAGCCAGAGCCCTGACTTAAACCCAATTGAGCATCTCTGGAGAGACCTGTATTCCTTCCTTCCTCAAAGTAAGGAATACTTCGAGGATCTCCTCAATCCCGGCGCCATGTCTTCCGATGAGGAAGCAGAGGCTGAGGGCTCAGAGGTGGACTCGTCCATCACCCAAGCTGAAGTCACCGAGGTAGTCAAGAAGCTCCTCGGTGGCAAGGCACCAAGGGTGGATGAGATCCGCCCTGAGTACCTTAAGTCTCTGGATGTTGTTGGGCTGTCTTGGTTGACACGCCTCTGCACCGTTTTCCTCCCTCTGTGACCCCTGGAGCACTGCTTTTGATGCACTTTGGCAGCCCAGGGC